AAACCGTACTCCGGTATTTTCAGTCACCTCTCTATCTGATCACCTCATAAGCCTCCGCATAATCTTCCTGGACTTTTCATTTCGACGGAGCTTTTATGTAAAGTGTGCAGCTTATTAGGGTCGTATCAAATGTGATGTCGGATTTTTTAACAGTCGCAAACTGATCGTACTAAGTGGTCAATTAGATGTTTAAAAATTATATTTTATTTATTTGTCGGAAACACGTTGACAAAAGTGCGTACAAGCAAATGGTACATATTTGATCAATAAGATGTGTATTTTAATTGAAAAAATTATTATTTTTTTTTAATAATCCGACATTTCCATAATAGCAGTATTAAAGGATACCAAATAATAATATTGATAACAGCAATAACAATAAACCAACGCTCAACAGTTGAATGAACCTTGTGACACGACCTAGTGCAAGATAATCAAGCATTGTCCAGTTATTCGGTTTATTTGCAGTTTAATATTCCGCGCGGTGCTCGTTGGGTTGTTTCTAGATCCAGACGAGTACATATCCGGTTATCGTCGAATTCTCAGAAAATACATTTCCTTCTGAAAAAAGACGATAATTCTAATCTTTTCCAGACTTTCGTGTACGTTCTGTTAACGATGTGTTTCAACAGAATGTAGTGCAATCTTTGAGGAAAAGAATGTGTTGTAAAGTTGAAAAGAAGATATAAAGTTTCTAGTCAAAGTTACCTCCGGATACATTGCTCTATGTGCCTCGGACGTGTGCCCACGGTATTAACACTATTTTTACTAAAGAGGTCAAATGATATCTTTTAAAATTTCAATTTAACACTATTTTTATCAAAGAATTGGAATAACATTTTTATTCTATATTATTTTTTATTTTTAATCACTTTTTCTTAATTGACGTTCTAGCTTTTCTTATAATGATTTTAAAATTAATTTGATGAAAATAGGTACATATATACGAATGACTGGTAGAATGTGTGATACACATTATAAATACATTTGCGTTTAATATATTTCCATGGAAAGTAACGAGAATGATGTATGGACATCGTTTTTTCTTTTTACAACAAAGATTCATGCCAGAAAGTGCAATCATTTGTGAAATGATTTAACATCGTTTGGTTATCGTTTCGTCGAAGTAGTATTACTTGCGAGTAAACAATGTAATTGACTGAAAATACCCAAAGCTGTTTTTCGAGGAAATATCAATTCTCCATTTTCTAATAATCGTATACTACCTGATTTTTTTAAATATGAGATATTGTAGTTTAAAGTTTGAAATATTGTCTAATTTCATATTCTAATACATTATTCTCTGTACAGGATTTCAATTCTATTTGTTTGAAATTACACAATTGTGTCATATTTAATTTGATGGAACATAATAAAATATGATATAATGCTTTTTTACAATTAATTCATCTTATAAAAATTGAGAATCCCATATCCATTCACAATGTAATGGTCACTTTATGCAAATTTCAATGTTCATATATTATTGTATAAAAATTGAAATAAGCGAAATAATTCTTTTACCAATTAGAGGATTGTTTGCGATAAAAATAAATTAAAAATGTTAATATCATTTTTACACATTTCCACATGCTATAAATGTGTAAATATATGCGGTCTTATGTTCACTGTAGATAATTCTACTCTTGAACCCTTGTGTCGCATAGTATAGTTCTATGAAGCCTTGAACTGTTTCATTGTCACGGATGCTTGTCAAAATCCGATCGCGCTTCTTTCGTTTCGCACCGCAAAATGAAAGGCAGTGGTTCCCCTCTAATTACTTTGTATTCTAAAGTAGCTACAATGCCTGCGACAGTATAAACCTCACAATAATCAGTGGGAGTGTACAAATCCGCTCAAGTCTCGGGATCCCGAAGTTCGGGACTGGGCGAAGAAATTCGAACAGGATCGGGCGGGATCTCGATACATTTTACTGCTCGAGATCTCGAGATCCTGAGTGTTTCGGGACTCCCGAAAGCTTCGGGACTATGCTCGGTTCTCGGGTGGTCTCGGACGGTCTCGGGCGGTTTCGGTCTCTACGCATGAATAGGATATGTAAGAATCTACAAGCATCGCACGCGATCTGTCCGGGATTCAGTTGTCAACTACACACTGAAAATATAAAAAGAAAATGGAACAGTAATGATATGACAAGTCTTTGATAATATTTGAAAATGATAATATAGAATAGTTTGCACACTCTATTTGTCCTTATGTAAACTTTAAATAAGAAGGATATAAATAAAAAATACAATCTTTAGAACGACATATGAAAAACATAGACCCATTTGATTTTTATTTATCAGTCGACTATAGCTTCTGGAAACAAAAACGACAAGGACACGTATTGAACAAAATCGGACAGTGAAGTAATTTTGATTTTACTAATTTGTGGGCCGACACTTTTTAGGTTAAAATAATGATATTACGTTTTATTACGTTTTATTACGTTTCAGTTCTCGTAATTACAAACGTACAATTATTCATCGAATAAACAGTAAAATTATTAAATGTTTGTACAAAAGAAGTTTATATTTCACAAGTAACGACAGCGACTACAATAGAAATAACAACGACGACGACACAGCGACAAGAGTAGTTAGTGGAATATGGGGGTGCCTCAAGTAAAGCGATAAAGTACAGATGATTTTTGGCAATTTTTCTGAAACTGAAAAATTTTCTGAAAATTTTTCTTTTTATGGATGTTTACTGAAATAATCCCGACCGATGGTGCTGACGGGTTTTTATCCTTCGATCTAAAATAAAAAATAAAACGGAGTTCTTTTTATAATAGAACTACGCGTCGTATGAACCTAAATCCTATTTTAAAAAATACAAAAGGAATGATAATATGCGACTCTGAGAACATAAGTGATTTTTGTTAAAATAAAAATGTTACACAATTACGTATAATCATTCATTTCGTATTTTTAAAATCAGGATTTAATTTCATAGGCGCGTAGTTTTATTATGAAAAAAACTTCCGTTTTATTTCTTGTTCTAGGCCAAGGACGAAAATGATAAACTGTACGACAATCAACATTGTCGTCGATCGGAAGGTTCACGGAGGACGAGATTTATTATTTAAGTAAACGTCAATAAAATATAACGAAAAAAGTTTATGTATCTTGAAATGTTAAAGAATATACATGGAAAGTGACGAAAAGTTTTATCAATGTTTTATTATACATTATACAAATATTGCAGAAAATCATTCTTATTTTAATGGTTTACTTGAGGCTCCCCCGTTAAGGTCGAAAAAAGTGTGTGTCACAACGGAGAGCAGGCGAGACGATTATTCGCGAGTAGTTCTGAAAAGAAAGACTGAGGGTGAAACGCGGGGGAAGGACCGGCAGAGGTATGCGAAAGGTGACTAATCATCGTCCTTGAACTCTTGTTGCAGCTTCGACGCAGGTNAACCTCACAATAATCAGTGGGAGTGTACAAATCCGCTCAAGTCTCGGGATCCCGAAGTTCGGGACTGGGCGAAGAAATTCGAACAGGATCGGGCGGGATCTCGATACATTTTACTGCTCGAGATCTCGAGATCCTGAGTGTTTCGGGACTCCCGAAAGCTTCGGGACTATGCTCGGTTCTCGGGTGGTCTCGGACGGTCTCGGGCGGTTTCGGTCTCTACGCATGAATAGGATATGTAAGAATCTACAAGCATCGCACGCGATCTGTCCGGGATTCAGTTGTCAACTACACACTGAAAATATAAAAAGAAAATGGAACAGTAATGATATGACAAGTCTTTGATAATATTTGAAAATGATAATATAGAATAGTTTGCACACTCTATTTGTCCTTATGTAAACTTTAAATAAGAAGGATATAAATAAAAAATACAATCTTTAGAACGACATATGAAAAACATAGACCCATTTGATTTTTATTTATCAGTCGACTATAGCTTCTGGAAACAAAAACGACAAGGACACGTATTGAACAAAATCGGACAGTGAAGTAATTTTGATTTTACTAATTTGTGGGCCGACACTTTTTAGGTTAAAATAATGATATTACGTTTTATTACGTTTTATTACGTTTCAGTTCTCGTAATTACAAACGTACAATTATTCATCGAATAAACAGTAAAATTATTAAATGTTTGTACAAAAGAAGTTTATATTTCACAAGTAACGACAGCGACTACAATAGAAATAACAACGACGACGACACAGCGACAAGAGTAGTTAGTGGAATATGGGGGTGCCTCAAGTAAAGCGATAAAGTACAGATGATTTTTGGCAATTTTTCTGAAACTGAAAAATTTTCTGAAAATTTTTCTTTTTATGGATGTTTACTGAAATAATCCCGACCGATGGTGCTGACGGGTTTTTATCCTTCGATCTAAAATAAAAAATAAAACGGAGTTCTTTTTATAATAGAACTACGCGTCGTATGAACCTAAATCCTATTTTAAAAAATACAAAAGGAATGATAATATGCGACTCTGAGAACATAAGTGATTTTTGTTAAAATAAAAATGTTACACAATTACGTATAATCATTCATTTCGTATTTTTAAAATCAGGATTTAATTTCATAGGCGCGTAGTTTTATTATGAAAAAAACTTCCGTTTTATTTCTTGTTCTAGGCCAAGGACGAAAATGATAAACTGTACGACAATCAACATTGTCGTCGATCGGAAGGTTCACGGAGGACGAGATTTATTATTTAAGTAAACGTCAATAAAATATAACGAAAAAAGTTTATGTATCTTGAAATGTTAAAGAATATACATGGAAAGTGACGAAAAGTTTTATCAATGTTTTATTATACATTATACAAATATTGCAGAAAATCATTCTTATTTTAATGGTTTACTTGAGGCTCCCCCGTTAAGGTCGAAAAAAGTGTGTGTCACAACGGAGAGCAGGCGAGACGATTATTCGCGAGTAGTTCTGAAAAGAAAGACTGAGGGTGAAACGCGGGGGAAGGACCGGCAGAGGTATGCGAAAGGTGACTAATCATCGTCCTTGAACTCTTGTTGCAGCTTCGACGCAGGTGGTACTGACAGTGCAGCAGAAGCCAGTTGCGACGAGCAGCGCGGCGACGACGGCCACAGGGCTACAGGTTGGTCTGGCGGGCGGACAGCATCAGCGGCCAGTCAGTCTGTCAGCCGGTACTACGATGGTATCACCCTCGCAGCCAGCGACTTCTTTGCACAGAGCGTCCACTGCACCAGCCGGCGCGCAATGCAATGCACGCATCACGGGCCCCCAACCGGTTGACGTAAGTTCCAATTGCTTTCAAACATTAGAACCGTGCCAACTTCGCTTCTAGTCCCCAAAGCACTGCTAAAGCAGACGAATTGTGTATTCGTTTCTACACGGACGGAATACTTGTATGTGACGCTATTTTATGCTTATGTGTCAACTTTCATTGTTGGAATCATTTTGATTTCGAATGTGTGACATATTATATTTTCGTTTTCATTTGGTGGACCATTTTTTACTTTGCACTTTGTTTCCTTAGTAATTTATCTCTGAAATTATTCTTCATCTTTTAAATAGATAAAACAGTTTCTATTACAATTGTATTAGGATACAAGTTTTTATTGTAGTAATATTGTAATGATTTGTTTTTTATTCAAGTTTATTTTATTTGATTAGTAAGACTTAATTTTTTAATATTTTGCTTATATCATAGGAACTTCTATAGCTTTTTTGTGAAAATAATGCTTACAGTTTTTCATTGTTTTGTTTCTATGTAATTAATAATTACAAGAATTTATTTTTACATATTTTAGCACGAAAAAAAACGTCAACTGGAAACACAGCGTGTTCATACATTCCAGCTTATGTTGGAGAACGAACAAAGTTATGTTGACAAACTTCGTAATGAACTTGCAAAGACTGCGAGTAGTGGTGGTAATGTCAACGTAGGACTACAAGCAGAATTAGCAGGAGCTGAAAGGAGAGTACGCACATTACAGGAGCAGCTAGCTGCCATTACTACCAATGAACAGGTATGATTTTTCTTTTTTATAGTGTGCTTTATCCATTTTTAAAATAAATTTTTAGATTTCTATTCATTTTACTAATGTAGTGCACAAATTTTATACTAGTAAATTATACAATCATGTACATATACATATATAACATATATATATCATAGTATGACACATTATTTTGTTCATAAAATACAAGGTCGTTTTAATGCTTACTCCATTAACATTTATTCTTGCCTTGCTTTTATGTCAATGTTCAACAATTCAATTGATGCTGTTCAATGTTCCAAATATTTTCTCAGCATGATGTTATTAGAGTGTTCATTTTTTTTTTTTTTTTTAAATAAAATGCATATTGATTGGAGTATTATTATAATATTCTATTATTGATTTTGTAGTATATTGAATTTTTTTATCAGTATATTAATAGCTAATATTGTTTGATGGTTAATAACAAAATATGATAGATCGTTCATTGCTTCTGTACATGTCCCTATTTAAGCTGCGTAAGTGTAATTTTTACGTAAGGTGTGCTCGCATTATAATTGAAATTTTCAAGTTCAGTCATGTAGGGATGTATTTAAGCTTTTGCTAACTTTATCTAACCAGCTTTTGTTGTGTCTTACAGCTTTGCTCGTTGGTAACAAACACTTCGTGTTCCCCGGGCTATTATCCACCCTTGAGTAGTAGCAGTGGTGATGTGCCACCACCTCTACCATCTCGTAAATCCTTGTCCATGCAAAGCCTATCTCCGCCACCATTGCCACCTAGACCTCCTCCTACAAATACACACAACGTAGCCCAGTTGGAGCTGGAGCGTCATCTGTTGACTCATTTAACGCCCTCAACCACCAGTCATGGCATCCCTAACTCTGTAAGTAGTCTAATCACTAAGTCATTAAATAAGTAATGTATACAAATGCATGGTAAAGAGAAAGTGTCACACGATAATGTATACATGTACTACAATTAACTCATATTTGTCCATTGAACAGTCACATAGTTTCATATTTTTACATTTGCTAAATTACTCTACTACGTTTTATTTCAATAAGTGTAATCATGTCATGTGATATTTAAGCATTTATTAAAGAACCGAAAATTGGTATTTTTATACTTTTCTACAATAAATATTACAATCAAATAGGTTCATGTACAGACATGTCAAATGTTTATTCAAAGAAAACTACGTTCATTGTTCATTGATGTTTTATTGCTTGAATAATATGTAACATTTTTGAGTAATGTCTTTTTAGGTATGATTGTATAATGCATTGATGTATAGTTTTTGTTATTTGTTAAACGTGTATGTTGCCTCTATGCATACTTTTAATACCTTATGAAAGTACATATCTCTTTATTTCAATTATTAGTATTTACCTAGTTATGATTTATGAAATCTATATTGTGGTTATGTACATATTGTGTATTTTACTACAGTCTTGCACAATGAATTGTATCCCATTATTTTCTTCCTATGCTTATGCCTTATTGTTATCAGTAATACTTTAGTTATTATGTTGAACTTTATTATAGCTTTCGCAGGGGGCAAATTTGGGGTCCTCACACTCACTTAATAAACACCAACGAACAAAATCGAGCCCCGAACAACTAGGAACTACCACAATTTCTCCGTCGGAAGCCAGTAGACGCTTAATAGCATCAGAGTCAATGAATGATCTTTCTCCTCCAAGGCATGTGAGGCATAGTGAAAATGATTTAGATGAAATACCTCGTATCACTCCTCCAGGAACTCCACCACCTCCATATCCAGTTGCTAGTCCAGGGAACGATACCTCCAGTTCTACTATAAACGATGTAAGTCTTATTTAGCAATTTACTATGTTAAAATTTCAAGTATTCTAGATACTGTAATTACTTTTCTTGTACAGACAACTTTAAATGAAAGCATTCCTGGATTGCCAGCGTTACAACAACCAATCATGTCAATGGAAGATGATGATATGAGTGACCAAGAAGTTGTAAGTTTTCTATAAAATATTACACTGCTTCATCAGTTACCTATTCTCTGATTTAACTTCGATTGATCATAACTTTAGGGACAGTTGGAAGATCATGGCCCATTCAAATCTTTAACGCGATTATGGGGGCATCACGCACACCTTGCTGTATTTATTAATTATGTTTTATCAAATAGTGATCCCTCCAGTCTGGTGAGTAGTTCATCATTCAGATGTACAGATAATATATTTTAAAATGTAAACTTTAGGCTGCATTATCTAAAACAACTTGTATTATTACAGTTGTTCTATTTAGTGACAGACCTGTACAAAGAAGGCAATGCAAAGGAAATGAGAAAATGGGCATATGAAATTCATTCTAGTTTTTTAGTACCTGGTGCAGTAAGTATTTAAAGATAAATAAATCTTTGAAAGATATAAAATTTGGAGATATTTTTGATCGAAAACTTTTTCATTTAGCCTCTTCGTCTACATAATGTAGACGAAAACGTAGCACATGAAATAGATGATGTTCTTTTAAAAGAATCTGATAAAGAAGAGATACTGCGAAGGGTATGTATTTCATTGCATGTTTGGTACTAACAAGTTATCACTAGCATTCAAAACATCTTTTTTTTTATAGATTTTCTGGAAAGCACGAACGCGGGCGAAGGAAGAGCTAAACGAACAACTTGCAGATTTTCAACAAAAGAGAACTGCAGGCTTGGGTACATTATTTGGCCCAAGCGATGCACAATTGGATGAGAGTGCGTCAGATAAGACACGAGAGACAAAAATCATAGAAACATACTTGTTACCTAAGATGGAGCCTTACCTGTAAGATTCTTAATTTGTATCTTTTTAATAGAAAGATTTATTACGTCATATTGGTATTTGATATTACATTATTGTTTATTTATGAAATGTTTCAGAGAAGATATAGAAAAAGAGAACGTAGATTTACGGCAGTTTACAACAGCAGCTGGTCTGGCAACAATATTAACGAAAATTTTCCAAGTGCGAACCGTCGGTTTAGATCGAGTACCTACTTTCGTTGCAAAAGATAAGTCAAACATCAAGGCACGTTTGCTTACGGGGAAAACGAGGAAAATGACAATCAGGGGGCATCATTTTATTGCTAATCAGTACTTTACTATTACCTACTGTAACCATTGTCAACTTATCATTGGTGGAATTGGACCTCAAGGATATTTATGTAGTGGTGCGTAAATGTTTACATGTAAACTAACAAGGAGAGATCATGAGTGTATATATATGTACTACAAATTATATCCAGTCTTATCCTAAAAGCGATAATATACCCTTATACTGTTTGTCAAAATGAGTTGGGATATTTCACTTTAAAGTTTTCTTATAAGTATAGGTAATGTTGACCGTGGAGACATTGTTAGTAGTATGTACTGCCTATCCACGAGAAAATGACCCAGATGTCGACAGTGGGGTACGGAGAGACCTCACTTTTAGGTGTAGCCTGTGTATAGTAAGTAGATGGGATATTAGGTGGTGGAGAAGTTTCTCTATGCCATCTTCTCGTGGACGAGCAGTATCTACACTTCTGATGATGTTTACATTTCAAAGCACATACATAATTTCTTACAATTAGTGGGATGGTACGTACTATAAAAGCATGGAAAACATAAATTCTCGGAACGCCATTCATGAAACAATGCAACACCATATAAAAAAAGCTAAATTTTCGTCACATTTACAAATTGATTGAACAATTGATTGTTTGAAAAACAAACATCATTTATATTTTTAAAAGCTGGTTTTTCATTGTCTGTTAGATCTGCTGCATCATCAAAAGTGTAGATACGTACAACTAACAAAGTGTCTATGGTGGAACTAACACATTGCCTATATTTATAATAAAACTTTAAAGTGAGATATCTCAAGAACAAAAATTCATTTTAACGAACGGTGTGATGCTACTATTACACTATATGTATACTACAAATTATATCCTGTCTCATCCTAAAAGCGATTTCCATATCCATGGTCTCTCCTTGTAAATTCAATACAAAAAATTCTTTATTAAACAAAATAGTTTAATATGAAATGTAATAAATCTTTCTCATTACAGATTGTTCTTTGAGTGTACATCGCCAGTGTGTTCGCGTAGTAGAAGAAAATTGTCCTGGGCCATTAGTTAGAAAGGAAAGAGGCAACGACCGTATAAGCAAATTGATGGAACGTATAAGGCCAGAGAGGAAACCTCCATCGTCGCATCACCATCACCATTCTCAAAATCATATGCTGCATGGTAAGTATACGAATATTAGTATTTATGTTCTACGTCACTGAACGTTCAACTGATGTAGAATTGTTTTCCATTTTCTGTTTAATACAAAATATCTTGTCATTGCAGTGGATAAACTTAAGAAGAGTGAAGAAGATGCTGGCGCACTTACAGATGGAGAAAATGGTAAGCAAGTTATTTATTTCAATATTCATTTAACAATAATATATAAGTTAAATATTTTGTGTCATAAAAATCGTCTTTGTATTTGCTGCTTTCACAATTCTAGACTCTGTATGAATTATTGATATACATATAAGGTTATGCAAAGGGGGTTCCAATCTCCTACATATAATTGTCAAATGGATGAAAAAAGTTTAAATAATAGGTCGAAAAATTAATATTTTCAAAGTTGGGAAAACAATTCTTCATTTCCTTTAATCGAAACAAAAATGTATACATAACTTTGAAAATGGAATGTAAGAGTTTGACGTGAGCAGAGGTATCACTCGGCAATAATATTCTTGCAATCCTTAATATTTTACTTAAGAATAGATCGTAAATATACAATAATAAAATAAAAGAAAACTTTGAAAGTATTAATTTTTTAACGCATGTTTATTGAAATCTTTTAATCTATTTAATAAGTACTATCTATCTAAAAGTCCATTATTTAGGTTATTCTTTTTCCGGAATGGAAGTACATTTTTCTGTTTTGAAGCAATTTCTCGTGACTCATAGAAAGATGTGTAAGCTTATTATCAGAGATTATGTGTTTATCACGGTTTAGTTGCAAAATTTATGAGTCAAGTGCAAATATCAATAAACATTGATATTTTCCAAATAAAATACAAAATAAATCGTATGTATTAAATATAATACATGGTGTCTCATTTTAATCACTATATGCGATTATCTCCAGAGCTATTTGTTATATGAAAATATTTTTCATACGACACTATTTCTATTTCGAGGGGGACATAAACAATGCCGTTATTTTGTTCGTTAATACATTCTTATTCAAAATTCTGAGGAGCATCGAATCGTGCATACAAATTATGTGATTCTATTAAAACAAATATCGATGATCTTTGTGCATCCTTTCGGTGTACACGTACAAATAAAATAACTGGTTTACGCCCTCCTCGAAATAGAAAAAGTTTCGGATGAAATGTTTGTTAAAGTAACGAATATATAGTTTTGGAGATAATCGCATATTAATGATTAAAATAAGATACCTTGTACACAATTCTTGACCAAAAAATTGTGACAATCCATTTCCTGCTGTCACGATAATCATAGAATTAAAAGGTCAGAATATAATTTAATAATAATATTTATTAACTACTTATTAAGCACATATATATTACATACATACATATTAATAATTTGTATGTATCATAATATGTATATATATACACACTATAGACATATTGTATTAATTTAAGTAAATGTCTGGAATTTATTTAAGACTTTTGTATACGTTTCTATCTGTCACCACAATGGTTGATCTAAAAAAAAATTGTTGGATATTTTGCAAAATCATTTCGAAATAATGAATACGATAAGACAAAGCACAAAAAAGTTTATGCCGGAAAGCGTGGATGCTATAATAAAGGTAAAGGGGGAAACACAAATTATTACTATGTATGTTCGAATATACAGGGTGAATCATATAACTTGCAAAGCCTTATTAGTAATTCATAAAAATTAGTATTCAAATACGTTCTGACCATTTAATCCTACGATTATCGCAGGACAATTATAAATAGTCCTAATCTTTTTGGCCAGGGATTTTATATCCATTGATGTTTTTAGATCTATTCTGTTCCCCTAATTTATGATACCGAAGAAATTCATTTCTTTGTTGAATGAGAAAATTACAAATATTATTTTCCTTTATGTTTTGTTAGCGATAAGAGTATGTTTATTCGCGTCAATCAATGTGCTGTTAGCAGAGAGAGATAACTCTGTCAATTTTAATAAGACTTTGAGAGGAAAAATCAACATTACAGAATGTTGAGTTATATGCAATAGACATTTCAAAAAATGATTCTACAAGTCTAAATAATACAATATAGTAAGCAGAGTGTTCAACTACGAGTGTTAAATATTTCCAGGGGCAATTCGACACGTTAACCTAAGATTAAAATTAATAATGATGATTTTACTGTAATGACTTTGTTTTCAAGATATTGACAATAATAAGTCTCTGTGATTCAGCAATAGTGCCGCTCGTAAATCACTTCAGGAAGATCGCTGATAATGACTTACTGTATAAGACGTATACCTGATTCACTGGCGTTGATTGATATTAATTGTTAATAGCTTGAAAACAAAATTGTTATAGCAAAGTCGTCACTTTTTATTTTCGTCTAAGATTGGATTATTGGATCTTCCCTTAAAGTATTTGACATATTTATTCGAACACACTGTATGTTATCGACTTTACTTAAGTATAATTTTATCATTATCTCTTTTAATGTTTGAGTAATGGATTAAGTAAAAGATTAACGGTAAACAAATATAAATAACGAGTCCAAGAGGCCTGTGGAGATCTAATCTACAGTGCTAATACAGATATACATTAAATTGTTATGTGGCACTGGCATATGCTCATTGAGCGATGTAAATATAACTCACACGTCATTTTTTCTTCTTTCTTCACATGATTCGTTATCGCGAGTTTACTGGCTTTATTTCATACAAGTATTGAACAACACAAGTTATACCAATCATTATTCAGAAGCTTCTGCTTAGTTAAAGCCTCCTCCATTAAGAATTAACAGTGAAATTTATTATCTTAGTGAAAATATATATCCATGTGCATGTTCTTGGTGATAAAAATTTTACAATTTTGATATAGGGTTATTAATAGTGATACAATTTGTGATGGTGCATAATGGTTGTTTAGAATGTACTCTTTCTTCTAATTTGATATATCTGCTCGATAAAGTTTTTTTTTTTAAACAGTGTATAATATAATATCTTCGATTAGCGAGCACAAGAAGCTAAATCAGAGTTATTAAACGTATAAAATGTAATGTAAGTGCGGATGCACGATTTTGCACATAAAAGTTGTTAATGATTCCATTAATGATTCCATTCCATTAGATATAGAGACAAATGTTAACTTACATTTATCCACGATTTTAGATTGTTATAAGCTCATTCAAACAAACAAAAATTAAATGGATAATTTAATAATTTTCAAAAATACCTTTAGATTGTCATTAGAATATTTTTTCCAATACTATGTATGCTGTATAATATTCATAGCGTTGACGATATTCAGTTTATTTTTATGAGATGAACGAACATTTGAAATTTACATTTAGTGCTTCTTATATATGTGCATTTTATACTTCTTAGGAAAAACAATCGTAGAAACATTTAGATGCGTAACCGATTGTACGTGCTTGATGTCAAACTAGCGAGTGTGGGTGGTTCCTATCGAGCGGTACTGTTATAATAATCACAGTCTGATAAGGAAGTTTCACAAAACGTTCTGTGTTAGTTGTCTGCTATTCTTTTCTATAGCATATAAGAGAGAGGAAGGAAGGAAGGAAGAGAAGGGGAGAGGAAACCGCGAAAACCAGACTAGAATCTCTGTTACGCTGATTTGTGTTTATATACGGGGTGTGGAAATAATTTATCATCAACAAGAAGTTTTTTTGGATCGTTTTACACTACCTATATCTTTATATTATATATTTATTTTATATGAAAAGACATTAATATTTCGAGTTAAAAATTGTATGTAGATTTATGTTATGTAACAGATGGTACAACTGAAGAAGGAATAATTTTAAACTTTCGTTCCCTTA